CCATTGACACACACAGTGTTGCTCGGCCCCATTTCCACCCCCCCCCCCCATTTGACGATTGACAGCACCAGGAGCCAGTGTCTTCCGCTGTGTCCTCATTCTCTGTGAGTAGAGATAGAGATGAGATGCAGCCCTGCACAGCACTGGATTGATTGAGAAGGTATTTGGGGGGGGAGACAGCAAGTTGTAACTTTTTTTTTTTTTTTTTTTTTTTTTTTTTTTTTTAACCTTCATGCAGGGAATACATTAAGGCAGGGGTGGGCAACTGTGGCCCTCCGGCTGTTGAAATACAAGTCCCATCATGCCTCTGCCTTTGGGAGTCATGCTTGTAACTGTCAGTTTTGCAATTCCTCATGGGACTTGTAGTTCTACAACAGCTGGAGGGCCACAATTGCCCACCCCTGCATTAAGGTAAAAAAAGTTGCATCTGTAGAACAGATGCATAACTAGAAACTTCAATGCCCCAGTGCAAGAAGCTATGAAGGGCCCCATGGTCCTGGCTGGGCCCTTCCCTCTGAGCCCGGTTGTGCAACACCAGGGTCCGGTCACAAGTGCAACCTTTGCGACCCTGGTAGTTCCACCATTGGTGTCAATAGTGTCAGGCTAAGAGGACACAGAGGCCCAGGGGCAGCAGAAGGAAACTGTATAGGAGGGGAGGCGGCATGTAGAGGAACCGATCCCCCTTCATTTTTCCTCCTGCAGCTGCTGAATGCCGGCTGGAGGGAGAGGTGGAGAAGCAGGAATTCAGCTGCAGGAGGAATCCACCCCTCCTATCCAGGTGTACAGGGGGGCCCATGGAGCCGGGTTGCAGTTGCGACCCCTGTAGCTACACTCCTGCCGTAGAACCAGTTTTTAAGCTTTTGGAATCCATTAGTCATTATTTCGATATTAATATTATTATTATTAGAGAAACTTGCAGACTACAGTTACATAGCAACCAGTCAATAGACCAATATTGGTTTGACCACTTACAAACTAGCTAAATTTGAAAGATCATTGGTTGCTGTGGATTATGGCTCTTAGCTTCATACTTTGATCATTAATGTGTTCCCTGTGATGCCTCCAGACCAAGTAACCTGTTCTTTTACCCCATAGCACGACAAAGGTAAAAGCGATGATCCCCATATGCGGCTGGGTCGTCTTTACCTTTTTAACTATGATCCCCACCAACTTTTTTCACCGGTGTCAGAACTGCAGAGGATTGAAACAGCTGCTATATTGGACATGAAATGGTAAGGAAGCCATTTGATCCTCTTGCCAAAAACTTTCCTATGAAAAGAGTATAGTGTATACATTTTACAATGTATAAATAACTTTACAGGATGTGATGTAAATAAGAGGCTTTCAAATAAAAATCAATTTAATGTACAGGCCAATTTTAATCCAAAGTTTTCTAGGCTGATATAAAAAGCCAGTGAATGCTGTCATGTGTTCATGAAACAATTATTTAATGTATTTGTGTATAAAACTAGCATAGGTACCCCAATCTGTCTTTTTATAGTAGGCTCTTGTAAATCTCAATGTAGAAATTCAGAAACAGGTATAGGGTAGTGTAGCAATTGTGCATACAGAGATGGACGCGGTCATCCATCTTGCTAAGGATCCTCCATCTTGTATCGTTTCTACTCCCAAATCCGCTTCCCTCCAGTTCCCCCCCCCCCCCCCCCCCCCCTCCCTCAGGAATGTGGTCTGTATGATGCCAGAGATCACAGGCTCAGCGGGAGAGCTTAATGGTTATAAATCCCACTAGCTGGTGCTTCTCAATCTGAGATGTCGTAAAGCCACTACATCTTTTTCTGTAAATATTGTTATTGCACCTTTTTGACCTTTTTTTAGTAATAAATCCTATTATCTGAAAAGTGTTGAACTGTTTTTAAAGCTCGTTTAATGCAAACTAAGAACCCCTGTCTCTGCAGAACGCTACTGTGTGTTTTAAACGTCTGCATACATCTGTCTGCGGTGACATTGTGTATACAAACAATTATTCAAACATCATAGTGTTATTGCTAATATTGCCGAATTTCCTCTTTCTCTGTACAAAAAGGAGGTGGTGGCAGTGTGAAGGGTTAATTGCGTAATTCACCTGACCCAGTAACAATCGCTCCCAGGCTGCAGGTACACAGATTGTGGTACATTAGATGGAAAATCTTTGTGCAGCTGGGCGTGGCATTGTTACGCATGTGACAGCGTGGTTTTAGATTGGCTAGTTTTTTGGTCATGAGTTTGGTGAGAAGGGCTGGGGGTCTGACTCGCGATCGTCACAGGTACAACAGCAGGGTGTAAGCCTCTCATGGCTTTATTGCTTGCAGGAAAGGTATGGCAGAGAGATATAACTATCAATAATCTGATACTTCATTGTCCAATCAGAGACTGGTGTAGGTCCTGGATATTTTGCCTAAACTGCAAGACTAAGAATAACGAATTCTGCAAGTAAAACATTTTACAAATGTAGGTGTTTACCTTGAAACTGTGTGTGAAGTTCAGATGAAAACTATGTTTGATCATTTGCAATGAAGTAGGCTCAGCTCCGGTATCTAGGAACTAGCATGTTGCAGTCCCCACAGGTAGAGGTTTGTAAAGTGAACCTGTGCCCGAGAATATGCACACTAAGGTATTTACATACCTAGCGGTTAGTTTTTCCACTAGTTAGCAGTTCTTTCATTGTATAAATTATATTGTAAAGCGCTGCGCAAACTGGCGCTATATAAATCCTGTATATATATAAATATATGTACAAAAAGGCCAAAGCACAGACAATTTATACGAGCATCTGTGTGTAAAGCAGTATTAACAAAAAAGTTATTTAAATTTTTTTTAAATTTCATTTTAAAGAATTTTAATGCAATTTATATTGCAGCTTACAATTATTAGGTGTTGTGACTGCATTAGTTTTCAGTTTTTTTTTTTTGTTTTTGTTTGTTTTTTTTTTAGGCTTTATTTCTCTTTGGACATGGTTATGGCTAGTAACAGACCTCTTGTATTAGGGTTTCTCTGCTCTGGAATGAATGAGCACAGGGGCACCATTGGACACCAGCATTGTCAATCTGTGGGGAAGGGCGTGTTAGATGCACTAGTAGATCTATATACACTAACAAATTGAAACTGAACAGTTCACACTTTTATAGTCAGTTACAGTAGGTTTTTTTTCCTTTTGGGATAAAGATTTAACACAAAAGCTGATCATTGTAAGCTCCCCTGTCAGTGGCAAATGGTTTTTATCATCCCTTCAACTGATACATCTGCTGAAGAGCTTGTTCTTTTGGAAACAAAAAGCAGACTTACTGGCCAGATCACCAGATCAAAATAGAAGAAAGAAAACCTAAAAAACAAAGCAAATGCAGCCACCACATCTATGAATTGGTAAGCTGCAATATATTGTTTCTTTTTAGGTTTAATACCATTTGAATAGACTCCTGATGTCTCAGTAAAGAGAACCTGTTATAGTAAAATGCTATCACATAGGGGGTTGTCAGTCCCCTATGTGAAAACAAAGAAAATACGTGGGGAAAAAAAGGTGTAAAAGAATTAAAGTTACACCAAACCACTTAACCCCCTTATCCCCAAGAAAATGTAAAGCCCCTTCTACCCTTCTGCCCCATGTACACACACAATTCGAACATAAATGCACACATTTGGGGGCGCTGACATATGGAAATGTTTCTTGCATTACACATGTTACGTTTCAGCGTTTTCTAAGAATATAAGTTTTCAGGATAATGCGAGGCAGCACTGCAGGGAATTTACTTTTACTCTTCATTTTCCAGCTAAGTACTCTGTCCTCGGTAGCTCACCAATCTTCAGAATCTCAGATTTCTTGGCCTGTAAAGAGGTGATATAAAAAGAAAAACTAGGGGAAGTTTTTGTTGGGCATACAGGCTTAAATCATTGCTGGCCAAGAGGATGAGAGGCTTTGAGAGCAATAAATCCTCCCATCTTCATTCAAATCAGTTTGCAAATATCAACACCGCATTTATACGGACATCCAGCCACAGCTCATCCACCCAGTCCTGGGTTGCCAGATGATGATGATAATAATAATGCAGTACTACTATTGTACATTTTTGTTTTTGGATAGTAACAATATGAAGTCTCCTTTGTGTCCATCTTCTATGTGCTCTTCGTGATTAGAAATGTCACAGGGGTTCAGGGTCAATATGAACAACAACCTCTGCAATCCTTAATGATACAGGCCCTCTAGCAGTTTTGTGGTCTGTAATGGCTATTGTTTCACCACCCTCTGTATCCGTTCTGAAGGGAAACGAGGACTGAGCCAGTGTGTAGTGGAATATTGGAAACAGCCGAATTCCATTAATTATGGGGCTAGTATGTTTATTACCTGTCAAGAAATTAAAAGTGAATAACCTTTTTTTTTTTTTTTCTGTCTAGGTGCCACATTCCCCTCTCAGATCATCCTGTGTTGGGCATTGCTAATGCTAAGGGTGCACTGGAGCTTTATACACTACAAGGCAGGGGGGTAAGTGTGTACATTATTGCTGATCTAGTTGCAAACTCCTGTTTAGTCCCTTGACCTGGATTTGACTTGTCTTATGTCAAACACAAAGTGCAAGTGCAGTTACTCAAAGCAGACCATTAGAACTCGTATTTATTATATTGGCCCATTGATGTATCTGTGCTTAGCTGTTCAGCAGATCTGGTTTCTGCAGTGACTGTTTTTCTTCAGTAGGAAAGTTGCCAGGCGGAGCCTGTGTACAGCATAGATGTGGGTGATGATTGTCTGGCTTTGTCCCTTGACTGGTCCACAGGAAGGAGAGAAAGGTAAGATATATGAAAATGTTGGGCCGACTATGTGGGGGGGGGGAAAAAAAAAAAGAAATTCCCCACAGCATCCAATTTGATTTCAGCCGCAATTTTATCTATTGACACTTAGAAAATATCTAGGTTGATATAAATCACCTCTTCTGTCTTCTTTCTTTTTTACACCAGCCTTGTGTTTAGTTTTGTGATGTATGCCCTGCTCTCTCCTGTTCAGTAGTTCTCCCATGAAGATCATCTGCAGCGACTCAAAGGGGCGTCTCAGTTTGGTGCAGGTAGAGGAATCTTCACCATCCCTGGACATCCAGTGTCAGTGGGGAGCCCATAAGTTTGAAGCCTGGATCGCTGCATTCAACTACTGGAATCTAAGTACAGTGTTTTCAGGTGTGTGTAGAAACTATAATGGACAAGTATTTGATCTTGTTTATTTGTAGTTCATATGGAATGATGTGAAGTTCTAAAATAAAATGTTCTTCATTGTGAAGTTTGTGCTATCCTATTATATATTTTTTTTAATGTTGTGTGCAAACTGTGTTACGCAAGTCTAAACACTGGGATATGAGATCTGGAGAAGAGGACAGGACTGAAGAACGTGGAAGGGGCAGGGACTTGGGTCCAGGGAAGGAGACAGGATTGAGGACTGTGAAAGGGGACAGGATTAAGGTTTAGGGAAGAATTTATACTGAGGTGCAGGGAAGGGGATGGGACTGAGGACTGTGGAAGAGGACAGGATTAAGTTTCAGGGAAGGAGACCGACTGAGGACTGTGAAAGGGACAGGGCCAAATTAGTTGTTTTGCAGGCTGGCTGCTAAGTGTTGCTGGGAAATCCTTTTGTTTGTGATGTGCATTGCTCTTCCATGTGCATCTTACTGCTAAGGCTAGTTATAAGTTGGGACGGTTGCCCTTTTTTTGTGCAGTTGGCTAATTTGGATGCAGGGAGGCACTGGTTGCCTTTTACTGTCATTTTGTTATAGCTGAGCATCGCGTGCGTTCCTGCACCTTTTTTAAGGAGGGATGGTCTCCTCCAGGTACACCTGCCCTTAACCCATCTATTGATATATGTGCTCCTACTAATGGAGGCTCTGGAAATTTGAGAGTTAGGTCCACAGTATACAGAGGATCCTTGATGCGGGACTGTGGCTTATGCATGTATTTGCAAATGTGTGCAAACACAACCCTCTGCTGTTAACGCAAACTCTTAGGGCCAAATTGGTTGTTTTTTGCAGGCTGGCTGGTAAGTATTGCTTGTTTGTGATGTGCATTGCCCTTCTATGTGCTCCTTACTGCTAAGGCTGTTTATAGGTTGGGACGGTGCCATTTTTTTGTGCAGGAGGTCTGGGGAAGGGAACAGACAGAGGTCCAGGGTAGGGGATGGGACTGAGGACCACAGAAGAGGACAGTATGGGAGGTATGGAGAAAGGAACAGACTGAGGTCCAGGGAAGTGGGCAGTATTGAGCTTTGAAGATGTGGACAGAGAAGACAGGACTATATTACTATTGTGTGTGTGTGTATCTATATATCTATATATCTCTATCTCCTAGTGATTTATAATTTATCACTGAGTAATTATATACTGCGCTGCACTGAGTCATTTTTATATTATGTATTGATTTATTGTGGGAAAACACAAAGTGTGAGCAGCAGTATTAACATTAGTTACACATCGTTACAAATACTATTGCATATTTACTTTGTCATAGTTTGCACGATTTATGGTGATTGTGCTGAGGTTTTTCTGTTATTGAAATTCTACACTGTAACAGTCCATTCTTTATTTCTCTGGTCAGGTGGAGATGACTGTTTACTGCGAGGATGGGATACAAGATCTACACCAGTCCACCCAATATTTACCAGCAAACAGTAAGCACAACCATTGTGTGTACCGATTTATCATGTATTACCCTAGGTTCAAACCTAAGTGTTTTCTGCTGCGTTTTGCAGAAACGCAGTACAGTTTTAATGATTCCCTATGTGACAGGTTCACATCTCTGCGTTTTCACCCGGTGTTTTTTGGAAAGGGTCAGGGACTTTTTTGAACCCAACACGTTTTTTGGTTCTATAGACTTCAATGGAAACGCTGCAGAAAAGCGTGTAATGCATTTTGCATTTAAAATATGCCTAGCAACAAGAAAAATTAAAAAAAAAAAAAAATAGAAAAACGCAACACAAAAATGCACAAAAAGCAACCTGCATAGGTTTGAACCTAGGGTTACTGCTATTCCATCATTTGTGTTGAATTAAAACTGTTCTTGTTCTCAACATACAGCATGCTCACATTCTCCGCTATAACAGGATTTAGTGGAGAACACTATAAAATATAAAATATGCCTCGATCTGGTTACCATTGACAATGACTCTGTGATCAGTACTCAGTACTGTCGTTCCAAAAAGTGAATGTGATTGTGTCACCGATAGAGATATGTTATGATTTGTACTTATGTCCCTCATTATCAGACATTCAATGGGAGTGTGCAGCATTCAAAGTCACCCTCTTCGGGAGAATGTTCTAGCGACAGGAAGGTGAGGAATCTGGAATCTCCTCCTTATGATTTCCAAACTATTACCATAAATAAGCTTTTTGTAAAACACTGGAGATGTAATAATGAATGCTTTGATTCCATTCACGGTAAGTGAACATTTTTAAAGCCTGCCTGCACTACTCCTATTTCAGCAGTAGATGGTGGTAAAGCATTTCATGTCATTGTCACCCCAGTCCTGGTGTAAAATTCAGTGTGTTTTTATTCCCAAATCGTCAAAGCCTGGTTGTAAAACAGAAGTGACGCAATCACGTAAAAGCTTTGGCCACAGCAAATATATATATATATATATATTTTTTTTTTTTTTTTTTTTTTTTTTTTTTACACTACAGAAACGGAAAGCGCCTTGGACTACTTGTGTTCAGATCATGTTGGTTATTTTGGTGACAACATTGTCATTTTAAATTCAGTGGAGGGTCATGGGATTTTTTTTTTTTTTTTTCCTTTTTGAATATTTTTCTGCTATCATTAAATTTATACTTTATTATACATTGTATATACAGCAGGTAAAATAAGTATTGAACACGTCACCGGTTTTCTCCACGTCCGTAACAACCCATGCAATTCATACATACAAAGATACCAAAACAAATAATTTCACAAATTTAAGTTTTATATGGAATGACACATGGAAAAAGTATTGAACACGCTAACTGAAATTTATTTAATACTTGGTATAACATTTTTTGTGTGTGTGTGTGTGTGTGTGTGTGTGTGTGTGTGTGTGTGTGTTCCCCATCTGTAACCTCTGTCTTGCGACCCTTCTTACAGATCACATTTGTTTTTGGGGTAATTATTTTGGTTGGAAGGATAACATCCTAATGAATGAGTTGATCATCTTTAATAAGGTGGTGTGGATTTCCCAACCTTCTTTTTATAGTTTTTGTATTCAAACACCCCTGCAACACTGCCTTGTCTGATGGCAACCCTATTTCGTACTGTAATTTTCATTTTCTCTTGCATGCCCACCTCAGTTTTCCTGCTGGAGCAATCGCACTGCCAATATCTTTTTGTGCTCCTCCTGTAAATTGCCTCTCTTTCCTCCAGAGCCTGAATCAAGTTAGAGTGACAGCACTGTGTCAGGCAATAGAAGTGTGATTGGCTCACAGTGCAGAACCTGTTACCCTCAGCCTTTTGTTGTAAAAAGATTTCAAGCATTAATATGGTATTTTAATAGGGAGATAGATCAGGACTAAAGTGTGACGTTTTTTACATAACACCACTTTTTTACGCTTTTTACAATTTTGGAATACACAGAGGAAGCTTTTTCAGGATTTAGGCCTTTCGCTTATTTGCTTGGGAGAGCAGAGGGTTTTAGAAATCGGAGTCCTTATCTAAAATTAGCGTTGCCTAGACCAGATTTGATGGGCGAGGTGCTGTCCTAGATATTGACTCAGTGGTAGAAATGATCTAATTTCAGATAAGGGACCAGATTGCTCTCACATGTTCTATAAGCTAATGAACTGTAGGCTTTAAAATACAAAGTAGTTGCCTCAGGATTGGTGTTTTATATTAATACATATTAGATTTTCACTGTTTCTTTTTATATCTCAGTTATGATGAGCATGTTCTCATCTGGGACTTGCGGCAGATGAAGCAGCCTGTATCTGATACCCATGTTCAGGGTGGAGTCTGGAGACTGAAGTGGCACCCAACAGAGAGTTCCCTCCTGCTGGCTGCCTGTATGGATAGTGGCTTCCACATTCTGGACACGGCGTCTGGTAAGTGCAGAATTAAAGAGCCAAGAAATTCAGCCAACTCAGAGCTGGTGAATAAATTAATTCTTCTAGTCTCTTATCTCTGAGGCTATATTGTTGAGATTCCCATGTGTTTCTGCTGCCACCCATAAGGTTATAATGAAGGGGCACCTCTCACAGCAAAATGCCGCAATTCATTTCATGATCTACATTATGGCAATTCAATTCATTGAGTCCTTTGGCTTTGTGAAAGGAGCAATAACCTGAGAGTTATGAAACATTTATTTAATGGCAACCATGCAAACCTGTCTTTTAACCACTTGACCTCAGGAAGGTTTTTACCCTCCTCATGACCAGGGCATTTTTTGATGTTCAGCACTGTTAATTTTTAACTGGCAATTGCTCAGTCATGAAGCACTGTACATAAATGAAATGTATAGCATTTTTTTTCATACAAATTGAGCTTTCTTTTGATGGTATTTTATCACCACTGGGGTTTTTTTGGGGGTTTTTTTATATAAACAAAAAAAGGCAGAAATTTTGGGGGAAAAAAAAAACCCAAAACACTATTTTGTCCTTTCTGTTATAAAATCTAATTTCTTCATAAATTTAGGCCCAAATGTATACTGCTACATGTCTTTGGTAAATAAAAAAAAAAAAAAAAAAAAACTCCCAATGAGTGCATATTTTATTGTAAGTTAGACTTTCTACAAACTATATCCTAGAATTTACGCAGCTATAGACTCTATACTTGTAATGGCAGTGATCACTGATGTGAATGTATATTACATATGTAAAGTGCTGCAAAATTGACGCTGCTATATAAGCATGTGTGATAAATCAGTGACTTATAGGGGTAGATTTTACTAAAACTGCAGCTGTGCATGGTAGCCAATCGCTTTCAGCTTGTTCAGTTGCGCTTTGGCAATAAAACCTGGAAGCTGATTGGTTTCTATGCAGAATTGCACTAGATTTTGCATTTACACTCTCCATTTTGGCTGATTGTGTGGGGGGGGGCAATCCGGTTCTAACAAACTAGCTGGGAGGGACACTAACTGACACTGACATTGCTATTGATATTAATATCAGTGATAATACTGTACACTGCACTGACACTGGGTGGAAAGGGGTTAACATCGGGGGGGGGGGGACTGTGCTTAACAAGTGTAATGTGTGCTGATTTTACTCACAGATCTGGCTGGTTTTTTTTTTTCTCCCTGCTTTTCAGGGAGAAGAAACAGCCAGATCGCTGTTCTGTATGCACAGATCGCTGTTCTGTATGCCAGATCGCTGTTCTGTATGCACAGATCGCTGTTCTGTATGCACAGATCGCTGTTCTGTATGCACAGAACGCTGTTCTGTATGCACAGAACACTGTGCCGGTATTAGACACAGCCAAAATTGACTGAAACCTGCTGCCAAATTGTGCTATGTCCAATCACAGCAGGGGACATGTGCCTGAAAACCTGTACACAAGCAGTGACTTTCATGTACATTGCTGTGCCAGTGAAGAAAATAAGTATTTGATCCCCTGCTGATTTTGAATGTTTGCCCACTCACAAAGAAATGATCAGTCTAAAAATTGAATGGTAGGTGTATTGTAACACTGAGAGACAGAATAGCAACAAATTCAAAAGAAATGCATGTCTAACAAATTATGCACTGATTTGCATGTTCATGAGGGAAATAAGTACCAGGTGTCTTTCATACAGGTAACAAGCTGAGATTAGAAGCAGTCTCTTAAAGGGAGTGCTGCTAATCTCATTTTGTTATCTGTATAAAAGACACCTGTCCACAGGTGTACACAAATAGTATAATGCCGCCAGAACCAATCTTAAAAACAACTTTAATTAGGGTGCTCACATTTTAACAGCATAAAAAACGCTTTAAAAGGGGAAGTGACGTCAACGCGCACACGAGAACCGGAAGTTGACCGACGGCCATTTTGGATGAGGGAGGATCGTCTGATTTCCCCTGGGCACTTCCTGGATTGCGTAAACTACTTTTGAGTACCTTTTTAAAGCGGTTTTTATGCTGTTAAAATGTGAGCACCCTAATTAAAGTTGTTTTTAAGATTGGTTCTGGCGGTATTATACTATTTGTGTTTCCTATACATTTATATTTATATGGAATATGCCTGGTATGGATATATGGAGTCTCAAGGCTGGTGGATCTTGATGGTAATATGAAGGCAGACTATATTGAGTAAAGACCAATAGGAGGACTGTCTCCCACCTTCCCTTTGGAAAGATATATGAAAAAGCTTCCTTTTTTCTGAATATTGGTAAGGGTATGCATTCCTTATTTAGAAGTGTCACAGTGCTGGTTGGATTAGAGCACTGAAGAGTGATTTCACATTCACGGGGGTTTTCATTTTTTGACTTCACAGTTTTTTTTCACTTTTTCACTTTTTCACTGAGTAATGTGATTGGGTATTCACTTGTATGAAGTCACTATATTTGGATATATATAAAAAAAGATAATGCACTATGTGAATATTTTTTTCTTTTTGAGGTATATTATCGGAGGATTTTTTTGAACACGAGAAGAATTTGATTTAAAGATTGGACTTGTGGGGTCTGGACTGCACATGGTTTTGAGGGTTTATTGTACAGCATTTTCTGTCTGTTCATTTCATTAAAGGTCAAGCCTCTGTACTTTCAGTTCTGATTCAGAGACTCTTGGTTTTCTACTCTTTGATTAAAACCCTTATGCAGGGAATCTCCCATATGGTTCCCCCAGTCTGATCCCCATTGACTCCATGGCATCTGATACAGATTCTTTTAGTGCCTAAAAAAACACTATTCGAACCCATTAGAGACATTCCTCTCTCAACACGCTTTCACAAGGTTGCTTTCCTTTCGCCTTTACTAAGCCAGTGTCTGAGCTGGTAGTTTTTATCTTGCAAAAAGCCCTTCTTGGTCTAGCATGAGGACAAAGGTGGTGTTGAGGCCCAGGACTTCTTTCTTGCCCAAGGTAGCGTCTGCCTTCTCACAGATCAGGACTTTGTTTTGCCATCCCTGGAATTTCCTTAGTGTCTGGATGTTACTGCTTTATGAGGCAGTTCCTCAGCCACTGCTTCTTTCAGAAAGACAGATAGATTTTTGCCATTCTGGATGGGCCCAAAAGGGAGTCTTTGCAAGGCTTATTTAAGTTTAGGTCTTAAGGATTGGATTCCCACCTGTCCTGTTAGGATTCACTTCACTTCACTGAGACTGTGATTGTCTCTTGGACTTTTCAGAATCAGGCCCTTTTTTTTTTTTTTCATGGCTGCACTTGTTCCTCTGTTCACATGTTCTCTAAGTTCTAGCAGGAGGATTTTTCTACCTCATCTGATGCCATCTTCAGACTGGTCCTTAAGGCAGCTCTTAGAACTAAACAACAGGATTTGGGGTCTTGCCTAGAGCTCAGATTGTTAACAATTGTTTGCTGTTTTGCCTAACCCTCAGACTGCTTTTGGACATCCAAAAGGTTTAAGACTTTCAGTGTTCCTCAATGGATGAGAGAGAACAAAGGATTTTTGTACTCGCCCTAAAATCCTTCTCCCTGAGGTTATTGATGGATACAGGTCCCACTCCTCTGTTTATTATCATGTTCTCAGTACTGCTTTGCTATAAAACTAAGGTATGTTTACAGTAGAAGGGGTTAAACTGTGTGCTGGCCTACAGCTTTAGTTTGCCAATGTCCAATTTTCTTGTAAGTGGCAGTATAAGCCAAAGATTTTAGTCTGTGTTCCTCAATGGGCTCCAAAAAAGGATTTTACGGTGAGTACAAAATATGTATTTTACTAGTTTACAGTAAGCAATAACTCCTTAAAATACCATAGCAGAGAGTTTATAGAAAATGGCATCTTCTGTATGTACAACCCAGTCTTATGTGGTTACTTTTGTTCTTCATTAGATGGCTGCCCTATTGCTTCCTCGTATGTGCTTCACAACTCCTTGGCTTATGGAGCGGATTGGTCCACACAGTCTCCTTCATGCAACGCATCAGCCAGTCCTGAGCCAGCTTCCCTGCAAGCCAATCGGTCAGATGCCACAAGGTCAGATGGAGCTGCACCAAACCTTGAGCAACCCGTGCAGAATCTGAAAATCTTCTACGAGTCACCCACTGCCAGCTTTGATGTGATTCTTGAGGATGACCATGGTGATTACTTGCCTGAAACTGACCCTGTAAAGGATTTGGACAATAAGGCTCTACCAGAAAAATCTAAATACGGACCAGAAAACACCAGCTTGGTGGCTACCTGTTCTTTTTATGACCATGTCCTGCATGTGTGGAGGTGGCGGTGGCAGAGAACACAGTCTGGGGAGTGATTCCATCTTTTTGTCACAACTGAGTTTACCAATCTATCCTAGAACACACTACCTCCTGTTGTGCTTATCCCAAATGCTTAAAGGCCTGAAATCTTTTCTGAATGCTGGACATACTATACCTTGGAATATGGCACTTTGATGATCCAATTTAGATACAGAAGGTACCACTTTAAAATGACAAGTCACTATATATAATCAACACTTTAAGGAGAAACTTAACATTATGTGGAATTTTGTACCTGTGCCGATCTGCCTGAACATACCAATAGTACCATTTTTCATAGAGCAAGAGGGTAATTTCCTGATACAGTGGGTATAGAAAAGAATCACCCCCTTTTTAAAATCACATTTTGTTGCATTCCAGCCTGGAATGAAGACTGACACAGTTTTTGTTTTATCCAGCTGTATTTACTCAGTGCAACTTATAACACAAGACAGAACACCAACTTGTCAAAAAAAAAAAAAAAAAGCAGAATCACCGAGTTGGAAAAAGGATCACTCCCCTTTTGTTGAACCACCTTTTTGTTTTAATTCCAGCCTTTAGTCTGTTGGGATATGTCTCTACTAACTTTGCACATCTAGACTTTGCAATACTTGCCCACTCTTCTTTGCAGAACTGCTCAAGTTCAGATAAATTTGACGGTGACTGTTTGTGGACTGCAGTCCTCAAGACCTTCCACAAATTTTCGATGGGGTTTAGGTCTGGGCTCTGACTAGGCCATGCCAGAACATTCACCTTTTTCTCCTTCAATTACTGTGTGGTCCTTTTTTTGCTGCTTTGGGTCATTATCATGTTGGAAGGTAAACCTTTTTCCCATTGACAACTTTCTGGCAGTGGGCAGCAGATTTCCCTCCAGAATTTGATATTTTGCCCCATCCATTTTTCCTTTATCCTGACAAGTGCTCCTGTCCCTGCTGCAGAGAAACCCCCCATAACAGGATATTATCACCTTCATGCTTTACTGTAGGAATGGTGTTGTTTGGATGATGAGCTGTATTGGATTTCCGTCAGACACATTGTTTAGTGTTGAGCCCAAATCATTCACTTTTAGTCTCCTCTGACCATAACAACACCTTTTCCCATGTGTCCTCAGAAGGTGCGTTTTTGGAAAAGCTCAGTCATGACTGCATGTGGCCTTTCTTGAGAGGCGTTTTTTTTTTTTTTTTTTTCTTGCAACCCTCCCATACAAGCCACATTTGTGGAGTATTTTGTGAGATTGTTGTCACATGCACACAATGATCGCATTTTGGCATAAATTCCTGCAACTTTTTCAGAGTTTCTGTAGGCCTCTCTTTAGCCTCTGACCAGTTTCATCCAGTTTGGAGTGATGTCCTGATCCAGGGAGGGTCTGTACTGTACCAATTACCTTTTCGTTTCTTAATAATAGACTTCACTGTGCTTCTAGGCATTGATAAAGCCTTTGAAATGTTTTTTATATCCATCTCCTGACCTGTGCCTGTCCACAACTTTATCCCAGAGATCTTTTGACTGTTCCTTGCCAGCTATAGTTGGTTGGTTGCTTCAGCTGCACTACCAGGGACTGAGATGCTCGAGGAAAGCTCTTGGTGATTTGCTATAGGAGGGTTGGTGTGGATCTTTTTTCCAACTCAGCGATTGTTGAATTTTATTTTCTGACATGTTGGTGTTTTATAGCTTTCACTTGTATGTTATAAGGTGCACTGAGTATATACAGCTGGATAAAACAAAAACTGTCTTAATTTCTGAACGGAAAGTAACAAATTGCAATTATTTTGAAGGGGGTGATTCTTTTCCAGACCCACTGTATATCATGGTAGCTAGGCTGTAAGATGTTAAAAATAAAAATAACCAGAGAATGGTCCTAGTTTTTGTGTGGAGCGTTTTTGTTTTTTTTGTTTTTTTTTCTACATGTACCTGTTGGGTTTACGAAATCCCATAGTTTGAGAGAATAAGAGTTAAAGCCGTTTGCTGCCTGTGGCCTAGGGAGATTTCCCCTTGCTGATGATCATGCAGGAAGTAGGGAAATCTTCTCCATGGGTAGGTACCTAAAGGTATTGGCAAGTACCTTTTTGGGTTCTCATCTGCTCATTTGGAGGCACTCTCCTTACAAAGGGCTCCATCTTATTCTGCCTTGTAGTTTTTGCAAGTTCTGTTCTGCTATCCCTGTATTTGCAGGGGAAACCTCATCAGCCTATAGAAAGGTGCAGGTCCACTGAGAGTTATAAATATTAGCAGGAAGTCTGCAGTGTCGAATTTTAGGAAAGAAAAATGGTGTAACTTGGTACTGATGGAAATATTTTCTGTACAGGAGCGTTTTAAAGGATAAGTGCACCTTTTGTAACATGTTACCATCAGACTGGCCCGCTCCTCACTTTGACAGCTAGCAGGGCTTCTTCTCCCCCCTCTCTAGCTGTCAATTTTTTTTTAAAAAGCGTCCGTGCGGGGCTCCGCCCACCCAGCTGCGTCACTCATTCACAGTCCTCTGTGAATGAGAGACTACAAGTCCCTTAGTGGCTGTCTGCTTGTAGTTTAATGAACTACCACAGTGCTGTGGAGCACCATGGTAGTTCATTCATTCTTCCTGGCAGTATATCTACTTGCTCTTACATCCTGTACAGGCAAGCAGATATACTGACAGATCTGCAGGAGACCTGCATAGCACCAGTGAACTGCTGATCGCAGATGAAATGCTTTACAGGCTGTTGCAGGCAAAAATAATAAATGCACTTTTTTTTTTTTTTTTTTTTTTTTTTTTACTTTTACTAAAGGGTGAACTTAACCTTTTAATCCCAAGCATTAGGAATATATTGGGAGGAGAGAACTGTTGCAAACACAGCATGCTGATCCTATCTGGGACTCTTCTCTGTGTTCAGTCTGTGGCAGCAGCTTTGGGATAGAAGGTTCTGCATTGCCATGGAAATACGTTTCCGCTATGCATGCTCTAATTTTACCTTGTGTAAATCTGTGCTTGTCCCATGTAGGACAAAGCAACATGTTCACTTAATTACCTGCACCCCTCCCTTGTACTTTTTTGTTGCCCAACTACAGTGAAGAACAAAAGCCCTATTTAAGCTCAGTCTGTCTGACGTTTATGCAAGGCGTAGTATTATTCCCCCCCAACCCCAGGTGACTAATCTGGCCTAGCTATTGGCTGCTCATGTATCTAGCAGGGCATTATGGAAGGAATGGAAAAGCATTCCATTCTTGCTCATACCCAAAAATAAAGTATATCTTTCTGCATTTTTTTGGACTCGGTTTCACTTTGTTTGGCTACACACATCACAAACTCTCCTGTAATGTTTCCTGTGGCTTCTGAATGAAATAAATTGGCCCCTGTCCACATGCATTTGTCCAGCTACAATCGTATAGGTTAGACTAGTGTGTGATCACAACCGCAGCCTGAATTATGACATGGGTTCCATGTGATCATTTATACTCCTAAAAAGTATGAATATGAAGCAATAAGCAGATACACCATATACCTGTTCTGTCACATGCAATTTATACAATTCCTCAGCATTGTATATACAGTAACAGAAGAGCACAGTCCAATACACCAGCAAATGTATTTATATTATAAAGGAGGATCCTGATCCACTGCATGTTTCATCATCTACAGCATAAGCTGATCTGTATTTTTGTTACTGTGATTTTATCAATAAAAGTGCTTGTTTGGCTAACTTAGCTCTTTATTTCCTATAGTATGGATGTGCTCAAGAAATGGCACTTAGTCTGAAACTCTCTCAGCTAATAAACTCACATTTAGGAGCTTTCCTGCATTTTTTTTTTTTTTTTTTTTTTTTTTTTTTTTTTTTTTAAATGCTATTTGAATCCACTAAAAAGGCTACTAAAATACAGCATGAGTTATTTTATCAAATCATGTGGAATTTTAGTAGTGAAAAGCATGCATCATGTTTCAGCTGTTAGCTGAATGTAAACATTTCCAGCAATTAAAAAATTTTAAACAGCGTGGGGTCCCCCCACCCATCCATACCAAGCCCTTTGGGTCTGGTATGGATTTTGAGGGGAAGCCCCACGCCAAAATTTAAAAAAAAAAAAAAAAAAAAAAAAAAAAAATATGGATTGGGCTTCCCCCCAAAATCCATTCCAGACATTTATCCGAGCATGCAGGTCATGAAAGGTGGGGGGGGCAAGCGAGGGGACAAGGGGGCCCCCAGATCCCAGCCCCCCCACATGAATGAGTATGGGGTACATGGTACCGCTACCCGTTCACAAAAAAAAAAAGCTGTAGTGTGAAAAAAAGACAGTCATTCTTTGACAAGTCCTTTTTAATAAAAGAATATCTCCTGCAGTAGATCTAACGTCAATCATGATATCTGCCGTGATTGGGGGGGGAAAAAAAAAGCTCTGCTACCGACCCTGGCCCCGGGCCGTCCGCGCACCAGCTGGTTTGACAGTTCTTAAATATGTAAGAGGTGGGGCCACACGGTGACATAACCCATGTGACCCCGCCCCTGTATGACATAGACCAGGGCATGCTGGTCACTGATATCACACAGGGGCGTGGTCACATACCTGATGGCCCTTTCCCTTTACATATTTAAGAACTGTCAAACCGGCTTCTGAGCAGACTGCCAGGAGCCAAGGTGCCTTTTTTTTTTTTTTTTGGGCCCCCCCCAGTTTTGGCATGGGGCTTCCCCTCCAAAATCCATACCAGAACCAAAAGGCTTGGTACGGATGGGAGAGGGGACCCCACACCAGTTTTTTTTTTTTTTTTTAATTGCCGGCAATTCTATTTTTTTACATTCAGCAGTCAGTGGGAATACCACTGACACATGATGCATGCTTTTCACTACTAAAGTACCACATGACTTGATAAAATAACTCATGCAGTATTTTAGTAGCCTTTTTTTTTTCTGTGAATTTACTATTTTTCAGTGCATTCTGGGCATTTGGGAGGGTCTCCTGAGGTTATCTTTTAAATACACAATGTGACAAATACACAACGGGACATAGATGACAGAAAATCCAACAGTGGTTATAACCCTCCCTTACTCTATCAAAAATGAAAGTTTTGCCTATATTTTTTACTTTAACCATTGGGTGATTTAGTGGGGATATACAGCTGGCTAAAAGGGTAGATCTCATCAGAGCTACAAATCAGGTTATCTGGAACAGACCTCTGCGCTAGGTCCTATTCTATGTAATCATTTTGTAAGTGATAACTACACATTTGAGTAAGGTATGTCTGTTTGCTGATGACACAAAGGTGTACAATAGGTTTGGTATCCCTGGAGGTGTCTAATATGATTTGGCTTTGCTGGAAGATTGGTCAAAAGCATTGGAAACTGCAGTTCCGCATTTAAAATAATGCTCTAGGAAAAAAAGTATCCCTCCATGGAATACTATAGTGTGGGTACAGTGTTTGCAAGAACTACAGAAGGAAAAGATGCATAGGAGTGCTTATTTCAGATGATTGCAAAATGAGAAAGTGTGGCCATGCATTGGGTAAAGCCAATAGAATTCTAGGCTCTATCACTACAGGGATTCCCCTATACAGAGCTTCTCTTAGATTGTAAGTTCCAAGGAGCAGGGCCCTCCTAACCCTCTTGTATTGAACTGTATTGTCTCCCATTATATTGTAAAGCGCTGAGCAAACTGTTGGTGCTATATAAATCCTGTATAATAATTAGACCTCGTGTTCAATACTGTATCCAGTTCAGGAGACCTCATTTACAAGAAGATAATGTCTAGACAGAATGAGTGCATGAAGCCAAAATCAAGAACACGGGGTATGACCTCAAACTAAAACTAACTGGAGGAAAGTTCAAAACTAATCTCAGAAAATATTTTACTAGACGAGTAGTTTGATGCTTGGAATAGACTTCCAGCAGAGGTAGTGAGCCAGTCAACAGTAAGTGGATTCAACCATGCTTAGGATAAACATAGATCTACAGGTGAAACTCAAAATTAGAATATCGTGCAAAAGTTAATTTATTTCAGTAATACAACTTTAAAAGGTGAAACTAATATATGAGAGACTCATTACATGCAAAGCAAAATAGTTCAAGCTGTGATTTGTCATAATTGTGATGATTATGGCTTACAGCTCATGAAAACCCCAAATCCACAATCTCAGAAAATTAGAATATTGTGAAAAGGTGCAATATTCTTGGCTCAAAGTGTCCCAATCTAATCAGCTAATTAAGCCATAACACCTGCAAAGGGTTCCTGAGCCTTTAAATGGTCTCTCAGTCTGGTTCAGTAGGAATCACAATCATGGGAAAGACTGCTGGCCTGAGAGTTGTGCAGAAAACCATCATTGACACCCTCCATAAGGAGGAAAAGCCTCAAAAGCTAATTGCAAATGAGATTGGATGTTCCCAAAGTGCTGTATCAAAGCACATTAATAGAAAGTTATGTGGAAGGGAAAAGTGTGGAAGAAAAAGGTGCACAAGCAGCCGGGATGACCACAGCCTGGAGAGGATTGTCAGGAAAAGGCCATTCAAAAGTGTTGGGGACTTTCACAAGGAGTGGACTGAGGCTGGAGTTAGTGCATCAAGAGCCACCACACAGACGGATCCTGGACATGGGCTTCAAATGTTGTATTCCTCTTGTCAAGCCGCTCCTGAACAACAAACAACGTCAGAAGCGTCTTTTCTGGGCTAAGGAAAAACAGACCTGGTCTGTTGCTCAGTGGTCCAAAGTCCTCTTTTCTGATGAGAGCAACTTTTGTATCTCATTTCGAAGTTTCCACAGTCTGTTGATTTGGGGAGCCATGTCATCTGCTGGTGTTGTTCCACTGTGTTTCATTAAGTCCAGGGTCAACGCAGCCGTCTACTAGGAAATTTTGGAGCACTTCATGCTTCCTTCCGCAGACGTGCTTGAGGGGGATGCTGACTTCATTTTCCAGCAGGACTTGGCACCTGCCCATACTGCCAAAAGCACCAAAACCTGGTTCAATGACCATGGGATTACTGTACTTGATTGGCCAGCAAACTCGCCTGACCTGAACCCCATAGAGAATCTATGGGGCATTGCCAAGAGAAAGATGAGAGACATGAGACTGAACAATGCAGAAGAGCTGAAGGCCGCTATTGAAGCATCCTGGTCTTCCATAACTCAGCAGTGCCACAGGCTGATAGCTTCCATGCCACGCCGCATTGAGGCAGTAATTGCTGCAAAAGGGGCCCAAACCAAGTACTGAGTACATATGCATGCTTATACTTTTCAGAGGTCTGATATTGTTCTATGTACAATCCTTGGTTTATTGATTGCATGTAATCTAATTTTCTGAGATTGTGGATTTGGGGGTTTTATGAGCTGTAAGCCATAATCATCACAATTATGACAACTCACGGCTTGAACTATCTCATATATTTAGTTTCACCTTTTAAGTTGCATTACTGAAATAAATGAACTTTTGCACAATATTCTAATTTTTTAAGTTTCACCTGTATACTCAGACAAATTAAAGTAACAAAATAACTAAATGGGGCAGCCATGATGGACTACTTGGTCTTTTTCTGTTGTGCTGTTTCTATGTACATGTTTACTGTTTTACCTTCCAAAAGATTTGCAAATCTGTAGTTTACATATATTTTCCACACTGCACAGCTAGATGGGTGACAGAGACAATTCATATCAAGCAAATAATCTGCCTGTGTCCTCTCACCACCCCTCAAACGTTCATCATCACCTACATCCAGAGAACTAAACTGGAAGTAATGGTCAATGCTTAGTGGTGAGTAGGTGTGTGTACTTTTGGCCAGCCACCTTTTGCAATTCAAACTCTATGGCAAGTAAAACCGTACACAGGTATGTATTTCAACTGTGCATTTAGTTTGTTGTTTTACTTTTTATTGTCTACAAAAGACAGCTATGACTTGTGCTTTACAAGGTAAATTTAATTAGAAAAGAAAGTTTAACAATATGGGGCATCGATCTGTTGTGGACATGAATTCAGCATTTGGACTATTGAACATAATTCTTTGGATACAACTTGAATAGTTTGCCCTCCTGTGTGGACTCCAATCCATATTTTTCTAGATTATTAGCATCAAAGGTTCCCTTTTCAAGGTCCTTCTGTATGGCTGGAGCTACAGTTTCCATAAACAGCTTTTCGGCCGTCATTTCCTCTTCCTCTCCTTCAGAAGCCTTGTAGGAGACGTACGGCCTCAACTTAAACCCAGTCAGATCAGGGACTATCAACTGTGGCACCATCTCCTTCACCTTGACAAACTTGCGGTTGGAGGTCAGGTACCCCACCATCTTGGTTCCTCGTCCTCTGTTGAAGGACTTTGGTCCCATTTTACTGGTGATCTCAGCCATTCTGTCTGAACCACGAACAAGGCCTCGGACAACATTCTGAAGCACCCCCATGGTGGTTTGCTGGGAGAGAAAAGCAAATATAGTTGAGGTAATAAGTTTCAGATTGTAATTAAAAATTAAGCCTCCAAGATAATGCTGCTCCTGGGTAGTCCAAACCCCATCCAAGCAATTTCATACTGTACACATTTTTTGCTGCTAATGATGCACCCCACACCCTTTGGCATTGCAGCTGTAAGTTTGTTTTAAAATTATACAGCTGACTCCTGACAATAATGAAAGAGTGACCTGGGTAGCTGTAAAGTTGCCCAATCACTTCTACAGGTTGGTGAAGTGCACCCTGCATGCACAATCATCAAAGCTCTCCTGCAGCAGCTGGGAGCCCAGGACCGGCACAAGTTTGTTCAGAATGGCTGATGGAGGAGGACTGGTAAAAATTCATTTTCTAATCCCCCAAACCACATGAACAGAACCCAGAGGTGCTCTGCTCTAAGCACTTAGGGCTCATGTACACTGCAGCTGAACTCACGTTTAGGAGCTGTTTAGTGTTTTTTTTTTCAGCAGCCCCTGAACTCACCCTGTTTTCCTATGTGTCTGTACACATCATTGTTTACAGTAGTTTTTTTTTAACGCAAACGTGCATTCAGCAGTCAATTTTATCAGCGTTTCAAACACAAAACAGTTGTAAACACGGCACATCACGTTTATAAGTGTTTGCGTATGAACATTTTTTTTTTTATAACTCTTCCAGTTTCCGATGCTGTCCAGAGCCTTTTTTTCATCATGAAAAATGCATGCAAAGAGTTTTCAAGGTACTCAGATGGACAAAACACTGAACACAGGATGTTCCTACCAAGCTTGTCACACATTGTAATGACCAATTCACACCTCAGACTGCTCCCACAATTGGAAACATAAGAAATGTTAATGACCATTCACACCTCAAATTCCTCATGAAGACCCCCTGCCAGGTGGCCTTAATGACTCACTCCAGCAGACACCTTTCCCACCCTTGGAAACAAATGAAATGTTAATGAGCAACTCACACCTAAGCTAATCTCAACACATACTGCTCTCTCTGCTTCTACTCTCTGTATTTCTCTGAAACAGTCTGAAATAGTTAATAATTTACCACTTTTCAGTGCATTCTGGGCATTTAGGAGGTTCTCCTGTGCTTTTCTTTAAAAAAAAATGCTTCTGCGCATAAACACATTATACAAACGCGGCTAAATAGACATTTTTTAACCTACGTTTTTCCAGCAGTCAGTTTCCATCATTCAGAAGTGTCCCGTGTACATGGGGCCTTAAACTCAGGTGGCTCTGTCCAAGGAAAGAAGGAACTCAAGCACGGTTTTGCTAGAGGACAGGGGAGAGACATCAGGGGTCTAAATATACCTCTGATCTCTAATTGAGGAGAACTTGCCATGTCCCCAATGCAATCACAGAAGGGGCTTTTCAAAAAAAGAAAAAAGTGTTTTGAAATTCTGAACTTAATAAAATTATCAAAACAAAACTTAGGATGCATGTTTGTACATAAATGATGATACGTGCCGCATACGCCAGAATGAGAGGAATAATTGTGCAGCGAGTTTAATCATGAATGCTCCTACCAGTAGGCTGCTTTGTCAGTCGTGCTCCGTAGTGACATAGCTGCCTGTGGACAGAACCTCAGCACTAAGGCTCCATTCACACCAATGAAGTTTTTAATGCTTTTGGCTTTTGCATAAACGCACTATAGTTCGTTTAACATGGTTTCCTATGGAACATGTTCACATCTATGCTTTTTTGAGCTGCTGCATTTTTTGAAAGGGTCAGGGACTTTTTTAAAAGCAAAAAGCAGCGTTTTTGCTACAATAGAGTTCAATGGAGAATCTGCTGGAATGCGTGGTAGTGTGTTTTTGCCACATTTTGCATTTTTATTGTGCCCAGCAACAAAAAAAATCTCACTTTAACAAAAAAAAAAAAACCCGAACAAAACGCAGTAAAAACCACATGTAGAAAAATGCAAAACGAACTGCAAAAAGCAAACTGCATAGGTGTGAATGGAGCCTTAGCGGGGTACCAGGCATTGGACACAAGCAGTGTATTGGATGCTGAAATCCTTTAGCAAATCCAAGGCACTGGGTGGCAAGACGAGTAAGTATTACTAATCATCATTTTTGGGAATTCTTTTTTTTCACATTTGTTTTATGTGGCAACAGAGTCATTTTAAAACAGTCAGACTGCCAAAACAAATTATGACCAACCTCAAGTGATTGTATAGCCAAACCTTTAGTTTTGAATTGTGTAAGGGAGTGGTAAACCCTTGCCACTTTAGTTTTTGCTGTCCTGCGTACCACTTAGGAATTTCCTCTTCACGTTCTGTCCCCATTAGAAGACGTCCCCTTACCATTTGTTCTGGGGAAACCTCTACAATGTTGGACTTCTCCTCAATTTGTTTCAATGATATTGGTCACCAGTACAAAGACACAGACAGAAATAAACTTGACAGGGGGTCCAACCTGGCTCATTTGTTTTCCATTCAGCCAGTGGTTGGAATAAACAAAAAATTGCATTCCACCATCCACACAAACGAGGTAGCTGGTGGAATTCCCCCCCTCTGGGATGCTGTATTCTGACAGTGGCTGAATACACTGAGCACTGGCTGGAGCCGCTGAGCTTCCAAACATTTTCCGACACATGCCTTCCGCAGAATTCATTTATATCCCTCGATCCCCTCGTGTATTAAATCGTATTGTTACTGTACTGTCTTGTGTATTGTCTCCCATTATAATGTACAGCGCTGAGCAAACTATTGGTGCTATATAAATCCTGTATAATAATAATATCATCCACACATGTTTATGCTGGGAACTGCCTATACCCACGTACAACATAGATCAGTGTTTCTCACCTTTTTTCAGTCAAGGCACCCTTTAAAATTATGGACAGTCTTGAGGCACCCCATTCTAAAATGTGAAAAACTATTCTAATAGTTTTATATAACACAGCAACATCCACACATGTAGGACACACAACATCAGAGGTGATTTATTCTTCCAAAGCAAATACACTTCTGCACACTGGTACTGACTAGTATGCCAATGTTTCTCTTTGTCAGTTTTTCTCCATCACTGAGCTGATGTGACCCCAGCACTGAAGGGGAGGGGTGGGGGAGGGTGAAACTAGGTTGCTGTGCAGGCAGCTGACATCCTCCTTATCATCTGATGATGTCATTGGTTGTCAGGACACAGGCAGCTAGAAGGTTGTAATGGTGCACAATGAAATCCTGTGGCTTTGTGTAACTAAAAGGCAGGCTTTTTCCATACACTGACTTGTATACAAGTTTTGGGCAATTTTTAGACATTTTGCCAAGGCACCCTTGAAGAAACATCAAGGCACCCCTGAAGAAACCCCAAGGGACCCCTGAAGAAACCCCAAGGCACCCCTGAAGAAACCCCCTCAAGGCACCCCTGAAGAAACCCCAAGGCACCCTGGTTGAGAGGCTGCCATAGAGTGAAGCACTCAAACTAAAATCACTATCCCCTACTCATAAAATACATATAAAAGAATGTCTTGCATGTATATATAAATACACAATGTGTTAATTCAAAATAAATTAAGCAACAAATATAGAGCAAAAATATTACCACGTGTAATATTGTATTTGAAAAAGCTGAATGGGCGCAATGCATCAGCTGGACAGTGACGTCATCACGCCATCTTGCTGGAGTTTTTTATGCCGTACAAGCACATTGATTGTTCTACCGTCTGAGTGTATTTGGTTTTAAATCAAATAAGTCATTTTCGATCTGCGCTGTGTGCTCTTTCCCTTCATGCCATAGATGACATCTGTACTGGGGAGATTGATGATCGTTAGGAGAGTATTTTGGATGCCAGCTTTCATACATCTTTAATAAGGGAGAACCACCAATGGTTCTCTATACAACTCTACTATAAAGCAATGAGGCTGCTAACATCCAATCAGAAGAAATCTCCAGAACAGATCCCATTCTACATCTGAGCAATCCTGCAAACAACTAAACGTCCTAGGCGCCGTCCTGAGGGAAGGAAGCATGGGACACCCGGGAACTCATGGACTCCACCTGTGTCCTGCAAATACGTGAAGGCGCCCTCTGGTGGGGGGGGACATTCACCTCCATTAGACTGGGGAGGTCACAGTGCTCATACATACCACCCGCCACATAGCACTCACCTCCACCCGCCGAGCTCTGGACCCGGGACGTGAATGTCACAAAGCCGGAAGCAGAGCCCACATGCACGCCAAGCCTCGTTCTCATCCTCCAATTACGGCAACACGCCAAAGGAAGCTTGATTGGTTTACATTCTGGCTTCAGATTGGGAGAACTCGTTGGCCCCGCCCGTCTTCTCTCTTCTGGAGGGTGTAACGTTCTGCCAATCGATGTGTATGGATTGGCCAGGGGCGTGGCTTCCCTGTTCCACACTCCCTGATATAGCGCCCCCTGGGGACTTTGTAAAGGGTGGTCTAGTTCTGTCATAAGTGATTTTGCGCTCTGAAGAGATATTCTGGTTGAGATTGATTTTCAGAGGACATTTGACAGGCACTAATAAGATGTTACCAGGGGCAGGCTGACAACTCATGGGGCCCCCGGGCAATAGGGATCATGGGGCCCCTGTGTTCTTGCCCAAACTCAAAAAAGCCTATGATAAAGGTACCAGGGGCATCTCATGGGGCCCCCTACTGACTCCGGCCCTCGGGCAGTGTACGAGTTTCCGAATGGTCAGTCCGCCCCTGGATGTTACATCACCTCCTCACCACCTGCTTTCTTCCATTCATTCACGCTCCGGCATCCTGCAACCGTGTGCATTGCATGCGTTTCCAGGTCGCTCCTCGCAGAGCTGCCTGGTCCACTTGAATGGGTCACGAGGTATAATTCTTGCTTATGGTACATGTGCATCTCCAGCCTCTGCAGATAAAAGGGGAAGTGACTGGGGGTGGAAAAGTCTTGGCTCAACCACAGGGTTTTACCGCTCCCCAACCTTTACATGTAAATGGGCCTTTATAATTCCATTGGTGTCAGAGACAAGTTCACAAATTTCTCCGTGCCCCCACTGAGATCCATACAGGACACCTCCCCCATCCTGGCACTGCACCAGTCACCTATGGCTGAGGAGGTTGTACTGGGGGGGGGGGGGGGGGGTGGAGCCTGATAGGAAACTATTTCCCCATCAGGTCCGCATTACTTTTAAGTGACAGCACTCAGCAGCAGGCAGATCAGTAGGCACTACTCAGTCTACTAGAGGTCTACACATAGAAAAAAGACTAGTCTCCCAGAGGTCCATCCAGTCTGTCTGTTTTTTGTGTGTGTGTTTTTGTGTGTGTGTTTTTTTCTTTTTTTTGGGGGGGGGGTGTTTTGTTGTTTTTTGTGTTGTTTTTTTTTTTGGAGGGGGTTGATTTTTGTTTTTGTAGTTTTTTTTTTAAAGGTGGTTTGTTGTTTTATTTGGTTTTGTTTTTGTTTTTTTGTGCACATTTTATTCTGCAGTTTGTTCTGTTTACAATGACACTAGGATTATTCTGGCACAAAGCATTGCAAAGTTATTCACAAATGAAACAAAGTGGGTTGTTCCAATTTTGCGCTTTTTAAATGTGAAATGTGTACATATATGTTAAAGGAGTAAAAATATTCACAAACAAAAACAATAAAAGTTTAAATGTTATTAGTTAATAAAATAGAAACAAAAGAAAAAAATGAGCAGGAAAATAATAATTGAAAGGAGAAGGAGAAGGAGGAAGGTTAATTAGGGCTGATTAGCGTAAACTAAGGGTTAATAAGTATTTGTTATGAAAAAAGAGAAGGGACTTTAACCACTAGCCTACAGTGCACTTATACCCCCTTCCTGCCCAGGCCAATTTCCAGCTTTCAGTGCTATCACACTTTGAATGACAATTGCGCGGTCATGCAACACTGTACCCATATGACAGTTTTATCATTTTTTTTGAGACAGATAGAGCTTTATTTTGGTGGTATTTAATCACCTCTGTTTTTTTTATTTTTTTTTTTTTATTTTTTGCTAAACAAATCAAAAACCACTAAAAATTTTGAAGAAAAAAAAATGTTTTTTCTTAGTTTTTGTTATAAAATTTTGTAAATATGTGATTTTTTTTCCTTCAGTGATGTGCGCTAATGAGGCTGCAGTGATGGGCACTGATAGGCTGCACTGATGGACACTGATAGGTGGCACTGATGGGCACTGATGAGGAGGCACTGGTAGATGGCACTGATGGGCATTGACAGGCATCACTGATGGGCACTGAAAAGCAGCACTCATATATGACACTGATAGGCAGCACTGACTGGCACTGATAGGCGACACTGACTGGCACTGTTAGGTGCCACTGACTGGGACTGTTAGGCAGCACTGACTGGCACTGACTGGCAGCACTGATAGGTAGCCCTGACTGGCATTGATAGGTGGCACTGACTGACACTGTTAGCCTGTTAGGCTCAGATGGGCACCGATATGTGGTATTGATGTGCACTGGTAGGCACTGATATGGCACTGATGGGCACTGGCAGGTGGCACTGATGAGCACTGACAGCTGGCATTGATGGACACTGACAGGGGGCACTGCTGGGGCTACACTGATCATCAGGGCACACTGATCATCAGCGCCCTGATGATCAGTGTACATGTCCCCTCTGAGTAAAGCCAATTACCGGCTCTCCTCTCCTCATGAGCTGTCAGCGTGACAGCTCATGAGGAGAGAAATGCCGATAACCGGCATTTCCCTATTTACATGTGATCAGCTGTGATTGGACACAGCTGATCACATGACCGAGCCGACATCTTCGGCTCTTTCCATTGATTAGTGATCTGCTGTGTCCCAGGGACACAGCGCGCCACCGATCACCGCACTGCATGCTCCCGGACCCGCACATGCGTGGTTAGAATGGGAGGACATCATATGACGTCCTCCCAGAACGAGAGAACCGTCTTGCGCTCGTCATTACCTTATATGGCGGGCGGGAGGCGGTTAAAGGTGCCACAACACCAGACTGATACACATGGTGTATCATAAAACTTATGACAAGAATTTTATTACAAGAATATTAACCCCTTGCCCTCCTGAGGATTTACCCCCCTTCCTGACCAGGCCATTTTTTGCATTATGACGCTGTGTTACTTGCACGGTCATGCAATGCTGCACCCAGATGACATTTACATTTTTTTCCCACTAATTGAGCTTTCTTTCGGTGGTATTTGATCGCCTGTGCGTTTTTAATTTTTTGCACTGTAAAAAAAAGACCGACAATTTTGAGGAAAAAAAAACAATATTTTTGACTTTTTGCTATTAAACATGTCCAGTACACGGAAATGCAAAATCACGTATATATATATGTGATTTTGCGCATCCGTGCCACCCTCTAGCAGTGTTTCTGCTATAGGGCGGTTGGGAAGTGGATAACAGATACAAAATGAGACAATGTTTCTTTGAGCAATGTTGTTGATAAACATTGCAAGGCTGCTTTAGTTTGTCAGAACTTTCTCTGTGCACTTAGCAATGTGCTTTGATTGATCAGAGCTGAATTGCCCAGTACTGGGACAGGGGAGGTCCTGGCAGCAGGGCAGAAGGACTGGACATGTTATACACGCCCTGTGTACATTTCTTTAGGGCAGGTCTAACACTTCCAGAGTCTGCAACTGGTTAAAATCCATACCAGACCCGAAGAACCTGGTATGGATAGGGGAAGGACCCCCGTTTAGTTTTTTTCAGAATTTTTAACTGCCGGCAATTATTTCTTTACATTCAGCTGTCAGCCAGCGAGCCGGTTTGCTCCATAGCAATCAGCTATTCTTCAAATAGAATTCGGATTGGTCGATCAATTTTTGACCGATTCTAATTGTTCTAAAAATTCTAAATTCATTAGGAAATGAATAAATGAATTGAAACTAAGAGAAACAAAATGAAACAAATTCTGAAAATGAATAACGAAATGTAATTAGTAGCATAAGGAATATGAATGAACATGTCTAAGAAGTAGTGTCCTGCTGGCTTGCACTGCACTACACTTGGTCCTGACATGTAAGGTATTGCTCTCCACCCCTTAGGGGTGATGGCTGGTTTACTACTTAATGAGTCCCTCTGAAAACCCCCAAACTGCAGTATTTATTTATTTCAGGTACTTATATAGGAGCTTCAATTTACAGAGCACTTTACATATATATTGTACATACACATCAGTCCCTAACCCTCAAGGGGCATACAATCTAAGGTACCTAACTCACATTCATACATACACATACTAGGGCCAATTTAGACAGGAGCCAATTCACCTACCAGCATGTCTTTGGAGTATGGGAGGAAACCAGAGTACCCAGAGGAAACCCACACAGGCACAGGGAGAACATGCAAACTCCAGGTAGGTGGTGCCGTGGTTGGGATTTGAACTGGTGACCCTAGTACTGCCACGCTGAAGTGCTAACCACTTAGCCACTGTGCTGCCCAGTATGGCTGTTATCTTGGCCTCCTCTTGACAGGCTGCTTCTGGCTTGGCTGTGGGTCTGCAGCAGGACTCTGCTGAGACCTAAGCTGTGTGGATTCCTGAAGCTCTCTCCTGCTCCTCTCTCCCTTCCTTCCTCTCCTCTTTTCCTAGGGGCAGTGCCCCCAGCTCAGGGTCCCTCCCAGATCACTGGACCCTAGACTCTACTCCCAGACTGCCAGCCTTATTAGTATTTATAGGTTGCTTCTCAGCCTTCTGTGCATGCCTTCCCAGGGATTGATGGAAGGCCCATAAATATTCAGGCTGCTAGCCCTACTCTCCCTCCGCTATGTTCTGGAGCAGTCCAGAAGACATGGGAAGTAAAAAGACCAGCAACCTTTGAAGCTCCTCACAGCCTCCTAACCAATGAACCCCCTGCTCCTCTACCTACAGAGGAGCTAAACTACATTTGCCTACATCCTAGCATCCTAGGAGGGTGATACACAATGATACACTGATGGTAGGCAGAGCCTGATGAAGGTGCTAGGAGGCTAGGAGGCTTGTTCCCCATCAGGTCTGCCTCCATTGTAATCAGCAGTTGGTGGATTCCATAGCTGTTTTTTGGGTTGTCCAGTGGCTATGGAATCTGCCCATTGCTATCTGCTGTCAATCTCGGTCAATCTGAGGGGGGTGTTAGACCAGATGGGGAACTACTGACCTTACCCCATGTCTAACGTTGTCACCTCATCCCTTTAAAACTGAACACATATTCATTTCCCAGGTTCTGTGGCTGATTAAGGTAGTAATTAAACTCACCTAGTGCCTTATATGCATTAAATTAGCCTCAGAACCTGTGTACGTAATATGTGTTTGGGTTTAAAGGGATGAGGTGGCAACCCTACCCATGTCAGTGCCTCACCACCCACCCCACAGCTCAAATCCTCAGCTGCTGTGCCTGTCTGTGTGATGGGTGCAGTGGCCAAGCAGGGAGAATGGAGAGTCTGGTATGGACATCAGTGCTGGCCTTCAAACAGGCACACAAATCCACCCGCATGCACCGACATTTGTTGTGCGGAAAAATTACACAATTTTTAAAGCGTGTCTTTGACACTATGAAGTCACAGTGGCTAAATTGTTAGCACAACCACCTGGCAGTACTGGGGTTATTGGTTCCAATCCCAACCATGGCACCACCTGCCTGGAGTTTGCATGTTCTCCCTGTGCCTGCGTGGGTTTCCTCCAGGTACTCCAGTTTCCTCCCACACGCCAAAGACATGCTGGTAGGTTAATTGGATCCTGTCAAAATTGGCTCTAGAATGTGTATGTATGAATATAGGTTAGGGACCTTAGATTGTCCTCGAGGGTTAGGACTGATGTGAATGTACAATATATATATGTAAAGTGCTGCATAAATTGATGGTGCTATATAAGTACCTGAAATAAATATTAAATCCAGAGCATATATCTGTCAACTGTCTCCAGATTGATTCGCTAGGGATTTCAAAAGTTTGGAGATTAGCCCTGAACATGTCCAAGCTTCCAAATGATTTTAATTCAGAACCAGACCCATTTTTTTTTTTTAGGACTGATGCATAGACTGGTATAGAAATATATGGAAGAACACGGGGCCAAGACAAAAAAACAATGAAATCATTCTGAGAATGTTCAAATTCTGAGATATTGGGATTAATTTACTAAAGGCAAATGGACTGTCCCCTTTACAAGGGAAGCTGCACTTTTTGAAAGGACATTTTTCCCAGAGCTTAATCAATGTTGTGAAGCGTTGCTGACATCCATCATCCAGTTAAGTGCATGCAAAAATCTTATATATTATATATTATAATATATATAATAATATATTATATATTATATTATATGTTTCTTGCATGTGATTGAGTATTCTTTGCAAGGTGAAACTCCGCCACATTCACTAAGTTGGGGGGAAACTTCCCTTGCAAAGTGAACAACCTATTTGCCTTCAGTGAAATAACTGCATTATGTCAGAATTTGGTGTTAGTATGTCACAATTCTGCATTATTATCTCAGATTTCTGTGTTGTTATCACAGAATCTCAGAAAACCTCCCTGCTGAACCAACAGAATTTTGATCCATTTATGGTCATCTTAAAGTGATATGAAACCCAAAAGCAAACATTTATTATTCTGCAGTTTACTAATCCTTAGATGTGGGGCATTTCATTTCATTATTAGGCTTTTTTTATTTTATTTTCACCTGGGGATCTAGCCAGTAGGTCTATTGTTCTTCAACAAGCTATCCTGCAGGTGTAGCAGTTAGAGTTGATACAAACCATTTAAACACTGACAGGGGTGCTGCTTACAATGATCAGCTTTTTTTAACTTATGTAAAACCTTTATCCCAAAAGGAAAAAAAAAACTGCTGTAACTGCCTTAAAAGTTTAGTTTCAATATGTTAGTGTATTTAAATCTGCTAGCACATCTAGCACTCCCTTTCCCCCAGACTGATAATGCTGCTGTCTAAAGGTGTCTCTGTTGCCCATTCATCCAGAGTGTAGGGTAGTTGGAGGTGTTAGCGTTTGCCTAGACTGGCAACTTTCAGGGGGTGGATGGCTGCGGCAGCAGGGGCTGGGGGGGGGGGTTGGTTGGCAGAGAGTGACGCAGCAGTGCAGCACAAAATGGAAATACACAACTGGGAGGTGTATTGTTGGCCAGATCATCAGGTGAAAACAGAGGGAAAAATCCTAAAAAAGGAAACTAATGCTGCTACCACATCTAATGATCGGTAAGCTGCCAAATATTCTTATATTTTTGGTTTGGAGTTTAATAAAACTTTAACAGATTCCTCCATCCTTGCTAATCAGTGCAGATGGACAAATCTCCTGCTTCAGCTATTGCATTCTGACAGCTGGTGCTGCTGGCTGTCAGAATGCCCACACAGTGCCTGCATTGGATTGGATCATGGAGCTGTTCGGGCCAGCAATCTTCTGCCTTGGTCCTCCAATTTTTCAATCAACGGGTGCCAGGCAGA